CCAAAAAAACCCCCATAAAAAACAAACAAATAAAACAACAAAATAACCCCCAAAACACCCCAAGAAAACCTACTCCCAAATGAAAACCTTTCCAAAATTACATTTATTCCTCTCTCTCTTTCTATCCTTCTCCCTGCCCCCCATAACTATAGTTTGTTAATAAGGTTTTCATATTTAGAATTCTGTTCTTTTCTATTGTGTTCTTTAAAAATCAAGTAACCTTAAAAATCAAACCGTCACGAGGAGCCAATTTCACCCTCTGCAATTATTCCTGCTCCTTTAGTTGGTGGTCTTGACTTGCATGTAAAAAGATAATGCTTCTGGTTATGTAAGTTCAAATCTTAGAGTTATATTATATTCCTGCCTCATCCATGCAATATGTTTCCTTCCTTTAATTAATATGCTTAGTGCCTATCTCTTCCCCATTCTCATGTCTACCTACCTGGTCCAAATCCCCTCTTCTCATCTCTCAACCATTTACCTTTTGGTCTTCCAACTGTTTTTCTTTAGTCCATTTATTGAATAACAAATGCTTGGATCCAATACACTTATACAAGGTGGTCTATGTTCTGTGCTCTTCCTAGGAAAGACTCCCATTTCTTTCCCTGGGACTAAATGATGTTTCTTTTGGGCTACATTTAACATTTTTGTGTTTCATGATAACAGTGGAAAGGAAGAGGGAGTAATATATTTTGAGAATGGCTCTGCAATTTATGAAAGCATTTTTCAGCTGCAAAGGACATTAGCAAGTCACATAGGCTGCTGCCACTAATGATATGTATACTTGCCTATCAGAGAATGCATGTTCATATCCCAACCAATTTGACAAGAAACAAATGTTAGGAGCACTGTGTAGACCGAAAAAACAAAAACAAAAACAAAAACAAAACTTTTATCAAGGCAGAATAAACAATACCTGTTATGATGCTATGGAAGAATTTGATCTAAACTTTCCTCTACTAGCAGAAGACTATCTTAGAAATTTTCCTGATTCATACATTTTTTTTAGTGTCAAATGGTTTTGAAAACAAATCTGATTCTTCTGTCTTCTTTGCTTCTCTTATTAATAACCGAATGATCTAAATGAAATATTCTGGATACAAAGGACAAATATTGTATGATATCACTTATATGAGATACCTACAGTAGTCCAATTCATAGAGAGAAAGTAGAATGGTGGTTACCAGGGATTGGGGGAGAGGGGTATGGGAAGTTGTTCTTTAATAGGTACAGAGTTTTAATTGGGGAAGATGAAAAAGTTCTGCAGATGGATGGTGGTGATGACAACACAAAAATGTGAATGCACTTAAATGTCACTGAATTGTTGTATACTTAAAAAAATAGTTAAAATGGTAAATTTTATGTTATATATATTATATATATAAAATAATATATATATTGTGTGTATATATATATATATATAATCTGAAATGTGAATCATGTGTTTTATTCATCTGGGTTCAATATTGTTTTTCTAGATGTGATATTAAGTTCAAATAGAATTGCACAAAACCTACTTTCAAGGAGCATGCTTTGGGAAAAGATAACACATAGGTAGAAATGCAGGCAATGACAGTGTCCCTGCCTTCTCACTGTAACAAAGGCTGAAGAGGATGTTTAATCTTTCTAGGTGCATTCGCTTTCAATTTAGTAACCTTTTACCAGGCCTGAATTTGGCCTCAGAATATATGAGTCTCAGAGGCCTAAATCTACAAAGCAAATAAAAAATACAGTATTCCTCTTCTTATCCATGGAAGATACATTTCAAGACCCCCATCGAATGCCTGAAACTGTGATAGTGCCAAACCCCATATATACTATGTTATTTCCAATACATACATTCCTATGATAAAGTTTAATTTATAAGTCAACAACAGTAAAGAAAATTAACAAAAACAACTAATAATAAAATAGAAAAACTATAATAATTACTATAATAAAAGTTATATGGATGTGATCTCTGTCTCCCCCCAAAATATTTTATTGTACTGTACTTCTTCTTCTTCTTCTTATAATGATGTGAAATGATAAAATGCTTTCCTGATGAGAAGTGAGGTGAAGGATGACATAGCATTAGATCACTCTTGACCTTCTGATGATATGTCAGAAAGAGAACCATCTGCTTCCATACTGCAGTTGGCCATGGGTAACTACAACTACGGAAAGGTAAGCTACAATTAAGGGGCAACTACTGTAATAATAACCCAAAAGTAATACTTATTAAGTATATATCAAGCACCAGGATTAAGTGCCAGCCAGGATCTAGGTCAAGAAAAAAGTTATAGGCAGATTTACAAATATCATATATTAGCTTACTATCCCCAACTCACTATTTTGCTTTTTAAAATAAACAAAGCCCCATACATCCCATTTATTACAGAATTAAGAAAACTAACAGAGACACACCTCTGTGCCAGTAACCACGTCAAAGAGTATGTCAGCCAATAATATTTATGAAACTCACATGCCGCTGACAGGCCCACATACTGTGAAGTAGAAATTTTCAGAAAGGGTACATTTTGATCCATTAAAATTTCCTATGAAAAAAAGCTTGCAGGTATAGACACTCTTTGATTTAGAAAATCTATCTTTTAGAAAGAATCTAGTTCAATTCTTATGGTGGGGGGAAATAATACATAAAAACAACAGTTCAAAACTGATGATAAATTCACCTCAAAGCAAAACCATTTCTTTGCTTGGTTAATGTGGCATAAGAGAAAGCTTGACTAGCAAGTATAATTAAAGTATGAATCACAGGCATGAGTCATGAGTAACCCTGAGAGCACCTATAGGGAAAAAAGTCCATTATAACCTACTAAATTTAGAGACTAAAGGATGAAGGGTAGGAGGAAAAATCTTAATTCCATGTAAATGCAGTTATGGGCCTGAATGGAAACACTGATAATGGCATTTATGCATTATTGGTCCAGCATTTGGGTGAGGCTCTGTAACACAGCATATTATGCTTAATGTATAGGTACTCATTTTTGATGTTTTCTATTCCTAGAATTTCTTGAGGTCAGGTACTTTGCTTTGCTTTATTTGTTTTTCCATACAAATCACTTCTTGACTCAGATTCTACTAATGTAGATAGTTGGCATAAAACATGCAGCTACACACATGAATGGGCAAATGATAACCCATATCTCAGAATCTAGAATAAATGTGTCTTGACATATAAGACTTTTGAAAAAATGAAAAACGACATCCAATAATATATTAAATGCTACTTTTCAGACTGTTGATACATTTTAAAGAATCACAGAAATTTTATTTAATGAAAAACAGGAAGAGATTGTTATATTTTATCCTATTTCATATCTCAGCAGTTGGCATTGAATTTACTTGCTCGGATAAACAATATGGCAAAAGTTGAAAGAAAAATATTTGTTTGGCCTGACTTTTTTGTCTTTCAAGCTGTGTGATGAATATAAAATTGCCTCAGGTGAAAAACAGCCCCACTGCTTGGGCTACTCAATTAACTGACAAATGGCATTCTTGCCCACCATCTGACCCCACCTACCCAAATGAGGAGTATTTAACTGACAGACATAGGTTAGACACTGGAGTTAAAATGGCTCTAGTGATGATTGGACATTCTGATAATATTTAGAGGTACAATGATACGAATATGGTTGGAAGGTTTTTAAGTCCAATTTCCTTGCTCAGAAGAATTTATTTTATTTAAAAAATTTGTTTGAAGTTTATTTATTTATTTTGAGAAAGAGCTTGAGCAGGATAGGGGCAGAGAGAGAGGGAGAGAGAGAATTCAAATAGGCTCTGCACTCTCAGCACAGAGCCAGATGAGGGGCTTGAACTCAAGAACCTGTGAGATCATGACCTGAGCCGAAATCAAGAGTCCGGCATTTAACCCACCCAAGCACCCTTTTGGCTGAGAAGAATTTAAATCAAAGCCATCAAATACACTGTTTACATCATCTTATCCTAGTTTAACGTTTATGTACTATTTTTAATGTTCATGTGTACTTCTTTAAAGAAAATTGAAACTAAAAGTCTTGACAGTCTCTGAAACTTAATTGGGAAAAATGTAAAGTACATTAATGGAATTTTTCCCATGATCTGTAGAAGAGTTTTTTAAACAGATGGTTCAAATGTACAGAGCAATGAAAACACAGAAATTAAAAGCAGATTCTTAAGAAAAATAACAGAGTTCTCAGAAATACTATGGATGATGGCAGGACTGGATGTAAGGCAGTACTTTGTTTTGCTGTCAAGGTTTGGAGAGAACAGGAATTTATTAGGTGATCCTCTATCAGAGAAGGGGTAACTGACTCTTGGTAGGAATTTACTATTCATTTGGAATTCCAGCCAACTTCAACAATTTGAAAATCCTCATGCTTGTAGGATAATTCCATCCAGGTGCCAACAAAATATATAGTATTGTGATGTAAGTATTCTTCTATAAGTGGGGGCACTTCAGTCCAAGGTGCGTACCTGGGGGATGGGGATGGTCTAAAATCTTTCCACCTTCATAGCTACTTGGAAAAACAAGGAACATCCCAAGGCCTATGAACCTTTTCATTTTCAGTATAAAAAACTCTGACTTTCTTGGATCAAGGAAGTGAGCGGTGGGAAAGAGGTAGGAAAACTTTTCAATCTGGAATTTATACGTATTTAGTGGAAACGTGTGAAATAAAATCTAAACTAATGCTAAAAAGTACCATCTTCCAACCGGAGTTCAAAATGACTTCCCAAACTTCAAGGAAAGTTAAAGTTGGTTTCTCTCCCAGGCAATTTTAGGGTACGGGTGGTGAGAAAGACGGGTAGGGGAGGTACGTTGGGAGTTTGAGATCCTTTGGGGGCGTGGAGAACCGCAAAGTGTTGCCATGAGCTAGTCAGCTCCAGGTGCCGGGGAGGAGACAGAGCTGACGCCCCTGGCGAAGGCGTGAGCGCAACTACGCCGCAGCCGCGCGCAGCGCATGAGCCAAGTGCGGCGGGTGGGTGGCGGCCGAGGGTGACTGGGAGAAGAGGAGGGGTGGCGCGGGGTGGAAGTGCGGCGGCTGGAGGAGGGTCTCCCAGCTCAGGCCCGATTTGCAAGCTCTCTGGGCCTGCGTCCGCCGAGGGGGAGGGCTTCCCTGGCCTGTCCAGAGTGGCTCAGAGCACAAACGACTGTCAAGAGAGTAGGAGAGTGGAGGTGCCGGAAGTGTGTGCTCGCCGTGGGATAACTTTCCTGCGCCGTCCGCGGCCCGGAGCCTCCGCCGCCTAGCTGTTCGCAGCGACGATGCGCTCTGATGACAACGACCTGAGCGGACCCGCGCCTCGGCCCACCGCCAGAGTCTGCACACTCCTCGCCGCAGGGGAAGAAGACTGAGCCCGGAGGCGTCCGCGCGCCCGGGCAGCCGGGTGCAAGGCGGCGCGGCGCTCGGGGCCCATTTCCTCTGCGCGGTCCCCTAGCGTTTGGCTTGTTCCCCGCGATCGTGCGTCCTCAGCGCCGGCCGCGGTCGCCGGCTGTTCCCGCCCTCACCGCCGGCCGGGACGTGCCCCGGCAGCCACTGGTAGCGTCTGTGCCATGGGGCTGCCTACTCTGGAGTTCAGCGATTCCTACTTGGACAGCCCAGATTTCAGGGAGCGCCTGCAGTGTCACGAGATTGAGCTGGAGCGAACCAACAAGTTCATTAAAGAGCTCATTAAGGACGGCTCTCTGCTCATTGGGGCGCTGAGGAGTAAGTGGATCGGGCAGGGGCGGATGGAGGGCGCGCAGGGTTGTGGCGAGTCCCCGCGGGGTGCGGATTTGAGGGGTGGGATGGAGGACTCGGGGCTTCTTTTGTTTGAATGGGTTTGGGACAAAAGCTGAAGAGCTCCCCTGCTGGTGGCCAACAAAGTTTGTTCTTAGGTGTTCTTTACTTAAGTAATGTCTACAGAGAAGGGGAAGTCCTCCACTGGACACAGGAGTGTATCTTGAGGAAAGTTGTTCAAAGTTATCTTTTTGTATAACGCTCCTGGAAAAATGTTGGAGACTATTGGTCCTTTTTTGTTTGTTTGTAATTTTATTATGCCTGATTTGAACACTTTTTCAAAAGTCCTGAAGGAGGGATTCAAGAATTTGTCTTAAGGATAAAATAAAGGTAGTTTAGTGATATTCAAAGAAAATTATTGATTTCTTATGTGTATCAGTGGCTCTTCACTGGGCACAATGGATCACAGAATTGGCTTTTTAAAAAAATAGACATTTACAATTTTGTTATTAGGAGGATGATGGAGATGATCGAAGACAGCATGGACCGGTGGATTTAGTCTCTACCAGTTTTTTTGTTGCGTCTTAATTTTTGGTTTATATTGTAAATCTGATGTTGGTCGAGTCATTGGGGATGAGAGTTGATGGTTAAAGGTCAACCAGAATTTCTGATTATTATATAAGTAAAAACTGCCCTTAGGGATTTTTCCCCACTTCCTTTTCCCAGCCGATTTTCTTTACTCCCTCTTGAATCTGCTGGTTTTCACTTTCAGTTACTAAGACCTAGGACAGTCTTAGTTTTAACTCCAGTTTCTCTTAGAGAAAATGAAGTGATGTAATTGATAAGGCTTAACTTGTACCTTTCCCAGGAAGTATTTGCATCTTAAAGGAAGCTTCTGAAGGTTTTAGCTACTGAAATGAAGTCCTGAATTATCTGGTCTCTGATGACTGGGTGAGTGAGGTATTTTCATAAATTGGAGAGCTTTTAGGAGATCTAGCAATTCCCAGGACAAATGTAGGGGAACCATCATCGTGAAAGGTCAGAAACAACATGTTGGGGATGTGTGTGTGCCCAACACTGAGACATTAGCATCTGAGCTGTATTTTGAAGCATGTATTAATGGTAAGAATAGAGCTTAGCAAAATATCTTGAAATAAGGGTGCTCCCAAATCTTTTTAACCATCCCAAATGTCAAAACATTTACTTATCACTTGTGTTACTTAACTAGGGTAAAGAGGATATGTTTTATACCCACATTCATTCAATTTCTGAATTTGAGGCTGCTACTGGTAACAGTATTTACTGATCTGTGAAAAAAATAACTTATATGCAGTTCTTTCCATTCTGTACATACACAAATGTGAACTCACCTTCCTTCTGGTTTGCAAACTCTGGTTGAGGTTTCAGGACTGGCATCTTTGCATTTTAGCCTCTTCCGAAAGAGTTTCCCCATTTCCGAGTGCTAAGTGCCAAGCTGACTCTTGCTGGAGCTGCCAGGTGGTCTACAAGTGATATTTTCTCCTCATTTTGCTGGGGAGATCAATTTTAGCCTTTCAAAAATTGATAACACTTCCATAGCTGTGATAAAAACTCTGAAATGCATGTTATTTTGCTAGTAATAGTATGTATTTTATTATGATTTTTTAATCTAGTCTTGCAAAAATCAGGTGATTCCTATCCTTAATAAGTTGGTTTTTCCATGTATAAGTGAGGAAATCATGACAGTGTAAGCTCCTTGAACATGCAGAACCTGTCTTGTTCATTTGGTCATAAGCGCTTAAATATACAACCTGCCGTCTTTCTAAAATTCTTAGGTTTGTGATGAGAGTACATTATTTTAATTAACATTTGGTTATTTATATCATTATGGAAGGAAGACATTTTATTCCTTGTTGAAATAATTCCCAGCATCAGCTGCAAATAGAGATTTGGAGCAGAGGAACTCTTGAAGTCACATGATGGCACTGCTTTTTTCCCACCAAGCCACCTTCTGTCCCTTGGGAAGGATGCAGTGAGGCTAGGCTGCAGCTGCTAAGTGCCAGCTCTCCGAAGCTGCTCAGCTAGGGTAAGAGTGTGCCTACAGGACTTTGAAGCCTGCTTATAGTTCTATCCCAGATCCACCAAGAAGCCCTCCTTTCCCCAGTTCTGTCCCTTCTGACTGTTTTTCTTTTCTGCTCTAGGGAGCCTTCACCTTCCCTTTCAACTATGCCTTTCCATTCTCTGTACCTACCGTTTCAGTAAGTGTATCCGTTATCCACTTCAGTTTTATTTTTAGAACTTTGCTGTTATTTTCATTAATAATTAATGGTTTCTTAATATAGCCTTCCTGAGCTGACAGTCATCATCTAAGCATCTTCTATTATTTCTATCCTAGTTCATAGCTCTTCTGGTGAGAATTTTGGCATGGACTTTTGGCTAATACATATGTAACTTTTTCAGTAGGAGTCACATATACTTTTTTTTTTTTTAATTAAAAAAATGTTTATTTATTCTTGAGACACAGACAGGGAGTGAGCAGGGGAAAGGCAGAGAGAGAGGTAGACACAGATTCCAAAGCAGGCTCCAGATTCTGATCTATCAGCACAGAGCCAAACGTGGGGCTTGAACTCATGAACTGAGAGATCATGACCTAAGCCAAAGTTGGAGGCTTAACCGACTGAGCCACCCAGCTGCCCTAGGTAAGGAGTCTCATATGCTTTTTGATTTTTACTTCAGGATGTACCTTTTTTGAGAATTACATGAAGGGAAACTACAAAGGCAGTCTAGGCATGTTAGAAGGGGAGGCTGGTAGGTACCATTCAATGTCAATTACAGGAGTATTGTCAGTTACAGACCCCTAATAAAAGAATCTCAACAGGAGAGAATCATCAGTTACAGACCCCAACAGGGAAAGATGTTCACTGCATTTACTACAAGAAATCTACTATCCCTGCAACTCATCCAATGAGAAAGCAGCATCACTCTGAACTCGTGCTTTTCTCCAATAGACAACAGACAACAGGGGTCCAGAACTTCTCCAACTTCTCCATAAAGTAACATTCCTCTTCTCTGTTTTCTAGATTTACCTATGGTTTTGTGATAGCTTGCTTGTCCAGCATTGCATTTCTCTTACTTCCGAATAAACCCATTTTTGCTGGTTAAAATAACTGGCAGTGTTATTTTTAAGGTTAATAGTTTCTTTAGTACAGTATTTGGAAGGGTCCTTATAAAGAAAGGAAAACCTTGCTTGACTACATGATTTCAGTTTTAAATAACATAAGTAAGATACTTAACATTCTTAAAATAAATTATTGCTTTTCGTATTCACATCCACTTTAAGAAAATGGATGACAGCTAATTAAGTGGATTAACCTAGACCTGAATTTAAATTCTAGTGCTGTCTAGTGCTGGCACCTGGGTGACACAGTTGGTTAAGTGTCTGACTCTTGATCTTGCCTCAGGTCATGATCTCATGGTTTGTGGGTTTGAGCCCCACATCAGGCTCTGTGCTGATGGTGTGGAGCCTGCTTGGGATTCTGTCTCTCCCCCTCTCTCTGCCCCTCCCACACTTGTGTGTGCTCTCTCTCTCTTTCTCTCTCTCTCTCAAAATAAACTTAAAAAAAAGAAAAAAAAGAAAAAAATAAATTCTGGTGCTGTCAAATGCTGTGTGATAATTGGCAAGTAACTTAACCTCTCTGAGTCCTGCCTTTCCTATATAGTGAAGGAAGATCTATAAATATCTTACCACTAGAATTATTTGTTCGTTTTGTTATATGTCATACAGACATTTGTTGAGCAATACTTGAGAATATTTGATACTGGAGAATTGGGTTTTAGTTCATGCTGTGACTCAAAATCCTCCACCCTTTTCATCAAATGTTATTCTATGACCTTTGTTGCTTTAACAGGTATCAGCCTCAAAATTTGAGTTGTGAAATCATAGGCTATTTTTGCTTATTGATTTTCTTCTTTTAAAGATCATATTCAAAGGGTCACCTCAAAATGGCTTTCTCATAAATTCCCCCTTTAATTTATACTTTATAATTTTAGATATTTATGTGAGTTTTGTCCTTGCAAAAATAGACTTCCCCTCCTCCCAAAAACAGAAAAGAGAAAAAAAAAGGATAGACAGAAATAGAATTGTATTCATTTAATTGAATTATTGGGTGGGGAGTATATGAACATTCTTTCCTCCACTTGCCCTGTGGCATCTTGGGGCCTTCCCTTCTTTCTTTTTTCTTTCTCTCTCTCTTTTTTTTATTTCAGTTTTTAATTTTGATTCCAGTATAGTTAACGTATAGTGTTAGTTTCAGGTGTACAATATAGTGATTCAACAATTCGATACATTACTCACTGCTCATTGTGAGAAGAGTACTCTTTAATCCCCATCACTTGTTTCACACATGCCCCTTCCCCTCTCTGGTAACCATCAGTTTATTCTCTCTAGTTAAGAGTCTGTTTCTTGGTTTTTTTTTCTCTCTCTCTCTCTCTTTAATGTGGTGTACATAATGGAATATTACTAAGCCACAAAAAAGAATGAAATCTTGCCATTTGCAACAACATGGTTGGAGCTAGAGGATATAATGCAAAGTGAAATAAATCAGAGAAAGACAGATATATGATTCCACCCATGTGGAATTTAAGGATCAAAACAAACAATTTAAGAAACAAACTTATTACCAGTGCTTCCTTTCATTGCCTTAAGGTGGAATTGTCCAGGTATCTTCTCTGCATTTTGGATGTTTCTCAAACTTCTATGTGTAGGCTTCTTTTAGAGGGAAGAAAAGTTAGTGGACTCTAATATTAGAGTCAGTTATTTATTATGGTAGTTATATATAAGCACAAAACTAATTCTAATGCTTATTCATACAATCTTAAAAGCAAATCAATTTATGAATTAAATAAAATAATGTGAAACCAATAAAAAAACTTGTCAGCTACATTTAATTAATCTAATGGTTGATGATGATTTACTGAAATGAAATTTCCCCTTGTATAAAAATTGCTGA